TGCAGAGCATTTTCTTAATAAACTTTGTTATGCCAATTGACCTAGATGTCCCCTGAAACCTTGGTCCCCAGATCCCCACCCCTGCTACTCTGTCCCTTGAACTGTTTGATTGTATTCAAAAAACTTCTTAGCTTTGGTTTAGTCCAGTTGTGCTGACTTCCCCTGTAGTGTGTGCTGTTCATCCCTTCACCTAGATAATTCTTATCTACTATCTAGTTAGTGAATAACCCTCACCCTCCCTCCCCACCCTCGTAACCATCAAAGAATGTTTTCTTCTGTGTTTAAACCTTTTCTTGAGTTCTTATAACAATGGTCTTATACAATATTTGTCCTTCTGTGACTGACTAAATTCATTCAGCATAATGCCCTCCGGTTTCCTCCATGTTATAAAATGTTTCACTGATTCATTGTTCTTTATTGTTGTGTTGTATTCCATTGTGTGAATATACCATAATTTGTTTATCCATTCATCCACTGATGGGCACCTAGTTGTTTCCATCTTTTTGCTATCATTAACAGTGAGCAGCCACTCTCTTAACCACTGTCTAGGACAACACTGTCCAATAGAACTTTCTGTGATGACGGGAATGTTCTACATCCACACTGTCCAATACAATAGCCACTAGCCACTTGTGGGTATTGAGCACTTGAAATGTAACTACTATGAGAAAGGCCATTAATTTTTAACTTTATTTAATTTTCTTTCAAAGCTTTATATATGTCATCCCATTGCCTTCTTGCCTGCATGGTTTCTGCTGAGTAGTCTAAGCTTATTCTTATTGATTCTCCTTTGTAGATGACTTTTTGTTTAGCCCTAGCTGCTCTTAAAATTCTCTCTTTGTCTTTGGTTTTGGCAAGCTTGATTATAGTATGTGTTGGAGACTTTCTTTTGGGATCTACCTTATGTGGGGTTCGATGAGCATCTTGGATGGATATTTTCTCATCTTTCATGATATCAGGGAAGTATTCTGCCAACAAATCTTCAACAATTCTGTCTATATTTTCTGTTATCCTCCCTGTTCTGGTACTCCAATCACTCGTAGGTTATTCCTCTTGATAGAGTCCAACATAATTCTTAGGGTTTCTTCATTTTTTTAAATCCTTTTATCTGAATTTCCCTCAGATGAGTTGGTGTCAAGTGCTTTATCTTCAGTCTCACTAATTCTGACTTCCATTGCCTCATTTCTGCTCCTCTGACTTTCTAGTAAGTTGTCTAATTCTGACATTTTATTGTTAATCTTCTGGATTTCTGATTGCTGTCTCTCTATGGATTCTTGAAGCCTGTTAAATTTGTCATTATGCTCTTCTCTAATCTTTTTAATTTCCTCTATTGTATGTTCTATGTTTTGATTAGCTTCCTTCATAATCTTTTGAAGAGTTCTGTATATTAATCTTTTGTATTCTGCCTCTGGTAATTCCAAGAAATTTTCTTCCAGTGGAAAATTTCTCGATTTTTTATTTTGGGGGCTTGCTGAAACCATCATGGACTGCCTCTTTAAGTGATTTGATATTGACTGTTTTCTCCGAGCCATCAATAAGTTATTATATTTATTTCTTTTATGTTTGCTTACTGTGTCCTAGCTTCTTGTTTTGTTTTGGTATGCCCAAATAGGCTGCTCATGTGAGCTAGTTTGATTATTGGCACTTTTGAAGCTCTAATGTCCTGTCACCAGGTGGTTAGATCTGTTACTAGCTATGTGAGCTCAGGAGTCTGCCCACTCCTCCTGTATGCATTCAGCTCAGGTGTCCAGGTGGACAGCCACCAAGTGCGTGGTGCAGGTTCACACCTACAGTCCTAGACAGGCATGGGTGATTGGTGTGGGCACCAGCATCTGGCTGCAGCAGGGGGACACACTCTGAGCAAGGCAGGGGCTGACAGTTGCCCCTGAGTGTCCAAGAGGAAAGCGTGTCCCTGTTCCCTACAGCACATAGGTGGGTGGGTTTTGCAGCTGGACTATGAGCACCCAATGCTGTTGGCTGTAAGGACTGGGGGGCATCTCTTATTCTTGGGCCCCTATCACAAGTGGCTAAGTGGTATGGGTAGAGCCATCAGTCCTCAGGCCCCTTATGTGGGTAGGCGAAGAACCTGCTTAATGGGCAGAGCAGTGTCAAATGTCACAAACCTGCCACTTCACAGCTGAAACAGTTGAAGTTAGACTTCAGGTATATACTCTATTGTACTGTGGTAATGAGGGCCTACACTGTTGAAATGGGCCCACACAAGTCTATGCAGGGGGAAAGGCACTCAAAGTCCGTGGACTAGGCAAAGGAGCTGTGCCTACCCTGATTTCCTGGTTTAGGGGAGCTGGCAGATTATTTTTTCCCCTGTTTGGTAATTCATTCACTCTCCAAGGCCAGGAGAATGGCTCAGGGCGTGTGATGGTTCCTACTTCCAGCCCAGTGGACTCAGCAATTGCTGAAGCCGATCTGGGACCCAGTGCAGAGCAGGGAGCAAGGAGGTAAATGGGAGAGAGGTTTTCCCCTAAGGGGGGTGTTTTTGATCCGTGTGGTAGGCCAGATGCAAGTACTTATCTTTCACCGATTGAGGGCTGCTTCTCACTGGTTCTGGATGGCCAAGTAGACTCTCTATCACTGGGTCTCTCCCAGTGCAAAAAACACCTCCTGAGCACCGCTGCTTTCCTGCCTCACCTCTCATCCCCGAGCTGATATGGGCTGAAGGGCTCAGGGTCTTGCCAGGTCAGATCTGGTAACTGCTTGCTGCTTCCAAACCGTCTCTCCCTCCCCCTGCCACTCAGTCTGGTTCCTCAACTTTGCCTTTAATGTTCAGGGTTCCTAGATTGTCATATATAATCGATTTACTTGTTTTTTGGGGGGGGGAGTTTGTTGTAAGAGGGAGCACCAGAAGGGTCTGACTACTCCACCATCTTGGCCCCACCTACCAATTTTTAACTTTATTTAATTTTTTTTAAATCTAATTGAAATTTGAATAGCCATGTGTGGTTAGTGGCTAACAAACTGACCAGCTTTGTACCAGAAAAATGAACAGAAGCTAAGACTAGTCAGTTTCTTTGCTTCTAGTCTCTCCTCACATCTGCTTGGATCAGCTCTGCCACCTCCCCCCTTTTCTCAGTCCCTGCTGAGTCTGAAGGATGTTTCTACTGGGGCTGTGGGATGATGCCGGTGGCTAACAGCAAGACAAGAAGGAAACTATGTCTGCTGGCCCCAGGAAAGTCCAGGACCCCAGTTCGGCTTTTGCATTTGACCAAGAGCACTCAATTTATTTCAAGGTTGTCCCTTCCTCACTCTCTTGCTGCAACAGGCCACATTTTTGGAAAACACATAGGTGCGTCACTGGGGAAGGTGCACAGGAAAGGACACTAACCTGGAGTTGTCACTGGCTGAAATCCTGCTCTGAAATCCAAACCTTTGGAGACTCACTTCCCCATCTCTGGCCTTCGGTTTCCATACCACGAGAGGGCTGGACCAGATGGTCTGAGAGGTTCCTCTCTGCTTTAATAGACTATGATCCTATGTCCATGGATTAAGTGTCTATTGTACATGTAATTATATTTCAGAGCCATGGTCCCTCTGATGCATGTCATGGGATGTTCCAGTTGAAGGATTATTATGTAGATATGGCTCTAGGTTACTCTTGCAACATTCCAGGACCAAACCAGTTGTTCATTCTTCTGTCCTCATGATAATGCTTCACATTAGCTTGGGCTTGTCCTCATGATAATACTTCACATTTGCTTGGGCTTTAGAGAGCTGATCCATTGACTAATTTGATTCTCATGAACCCTGGGAGGGCAAGACACTACTCCCATTTTAAGAGAAAAAGCTGAGGCTCAGGGAGGGAAGGAGAGAAACTTCCAGGTGTCAAGTGCCATGATAGGTGCTTTACACATCACCTCATAATAACCCTTTGAAGTGGATAATATTACCCCCACATTGTTGTTGTTAGGTGCCACTGAGTCAATTTCGACTCATAATGACCCCATGTGACAGGGTAGAACTGCCCCATAGAGTGTTCTAGGCTGGAGTCTTTATGGGAGCAGATCACCAAGGTCTTTCTCTTGCAGAGCCACTGAGTGGGTTTGAACTGCCAACAGCTGAGTGCTTAACCATTGCACCACTTCACAGGTGTGGAAACGGAGGCCCAGTAATGTAAAATGACTTTCCTAAGGTTACACTGATAACAAGTGATGGAGGTCCTCTTTTCTGACTCTGTACTAGTCGCTCACCACTCTGTATTTTCTGCTGCCTCTGTAAACACTTCCCCACAAGATGCTGAAATAATAACCATAGCACTACGGCTCTCTTTCCTTTCCACATCATCCTTTTGTGATGCTCTCCAAGCAGACTTAGCAAGTCATTTCAACTTGCTGAACCTCTATTTCCTCTTCTATAAAATTGAAGGGTAACAGTCTCTACTTCATAAGGGTGTTAAAATCCTTGTTGAAATTTTAGGTAAGATCATGTATTTGAGCAGTTAGCCCAGAGCACATGGAAGTAACTCAATAACTACTAATTCTTATTATGTTTGGAAACCGTTGTCCATACTAATGAAAAAAAACCCTTTGCTGTTGAGTCAATTCTGACTTACGGCTACCCCATGTGTGTCAGAGTAGAACTGCAGTACACAGGGTTTTCAATGGCTGTGATCTAATGGAAGTAAATTGCCAGGCCTTTTTTCAGTGGCACCTCTGGGTGGATTAGAATGGCCAACCTTTCAGTTAGTAGCCAAGTGCCAAAAGTCTGTGCCACCCAGGGATCTCTTTATACTGATGTTGTTGTTGTTTGCCATTGAATTGATTCCCACTCTGAGCGACCCTGTATGACTGAGGAGAACTGTTCCATAGGGTTTCCTAGGCTGTAATCTTGACAGGAACAGATTGCCAGGTCTTTCTCCCCCAGAGTGACTGGTGAGTTCAAATCATATACCTTTCCGTTAGCAGCTGAGCCCTTAACCATCACACCAAACAGTATCAGGCAATTCCCTTCACCTCAAGCCAAATTAAAACCACAAAGAAACTGTCTACATTTTTTAAAAAAAGTTTTATTATGAAATCAAACTACATCACCCATGTATTCTCTGCAATAGTAGAGAAACAGTGGTGGACCATCCCCATGGGGGACATATGTCCCTCAGCAAAACAAACATAAATAATAGCAACATCACCAAATACAATAACACAACACATAGTAACGATTAAATTAAGAGAAGGAACAGGAAATGCTGAGAGGAGTCTTGGGCATGGATAAGATGTGTTTCAATGAGAAGTGTCAGGGCTCAGATGTCCTTCCCTGCAGACTTGCTGCTCTCAGGCCTGGAGTGGCTCAGTTCAGTTCCAGGTCATCCATGTACTCCTGGACCCAGGGCTCACTGGGGTTGGCACAGACTTCCCTGCCCCTTTTGGTCTGGAATCTGAGGAATGAGGAGTGGACAGATTAGACTCCCATGGAATCTTTGAGGACATCTCGTACTATTCTTTGCCTAGAGCAGGCATCTCTCTCTACCTGAGGACCACCACTGATGGTTCACATGGAGCAGCTCTAGTGACGGAGGTCCTGGGAGTGGCACTGGAATGAGATTCCCTATAACTTCCACCCTTTGGACTTCATTGTGGCTCAGAGGTTGCTCAGATGAGGAATCAGTGAGTCTTGCAATTAATGTGGATACATCTCCCCATTCCCTACCGCCCCTAACATCTTCTTTTCTAGCATGATTTAAGAAATCAGTTGACATCTTATGTGACCTTTTTTAACTTTCCCTGGTTTCCTGACTGCTGGTTAACTTTCTTCCAGGAATCCCCTCTTCTCCCTTGGCCCTACCCAGCCCCTACAGGACTCAGCAAGCAACCTCATGACCTGTTTCCTCACTGCTCCCTGACACCAGGGCCACAACTCTGACTCTCGCATCCCTGGTGCTTGGTGCCACATCCCTTCCCAGGTAGATCCCATCTCCACTCCTTCTACCCTCACCTTTGCCTCCCAGAGGAGCCCAGGGGTTGATACTCACACCACAGCTGGCTTGGCACAGAGGCCGCTGGTGTCATAGTAATCAACCACAAAGCTGCGAGGAAGCTTCCGCAGAGTGTAGGAGAAGCAGCAGGCAGTAGGAGGGTCGGAGCCCACTAAAAGGAAAGGACTGAGTGAGATCAAAGCACTACATGGGAGCTGGTCATTTATGAGCATTCCTGTGGCGATGCCAGAACCACAAATATGGTCCCTCACATACAATCCCACCCACCCTGAGTGGGAGTCTTATTTTGAATACAGGGTTCTCAGAGAAGATCATGGAAGAATTCTAAAAGATTGAAGCTGGATTGAGTCTCAGAGCTAATGTTCAACTCCCATCATTTTACGGATGGGGAAACGAAGGCACAGAGAAGGTCAGGGACTTGCTTGAACAAGTAGTTAGAAGCAGAGCCAATTATTCAGCCTAACTTCTAGCCCCATCCATTTTCTCCTCTATCAACTCCTGATTGTTTCTTAATAACCAAAAAAAAAAAAGAAAAGAAAAAACAGGAACTTGAATATTATTGAATGTCTACTAGAATCTACATTTGAGAGCAGACTATTTGGAATCTTCTAGGTCCCACTGTTAGACCAGCCTCAACTAGGGAGGTAGACTCTGCATACACCCTGACTCTCGAAATAGCATCTGAAAGGGTGGACTTACTTGGTGCTGAGAGGGCCGGAGAGCAGAAGGCAGCCACTAGCACGAGGAGAGAGAGGACAGTCACGCAGAGCTTCATGGTCTTGGCTGAGGAGAGGCTTTCCAGAAGCTGAGACTGAAGAGCCCAGAAGCTTCAGAACCCAGACTGTGTCCTGTGATGATACTGAGTTGGGAACCCTTACTTATAGGGACTTTGGGGCCTTGGATGAAGGTGGGGGCACAGGACTGTGAGTGGAATTTCCAGGGTAGAGATGATGTCATGGGGCCAGTAAGGAAACTGAAGCTAGCTAAGAGGGAGGAGCTCCTATGGCTTCTCTTCCTCAGGGAGATGTCATCACAGAGGAAAGAGGCAGGAGGCGGAGGGGAAAATAAGTGGGCTGCACCCCAGAGGGAAGTGGTACACCAAAGGCAGTGACTGAGACTGGCGAGAGAATTGCAAACCCCAGAGGAAGGATGAAATGTTCACACCTTCTAGAAGGGCCTTGTAGACAGGAGTCGTGAAGCCACACAAATTTATCTTTAATTGTTGGCTTTTGCTTCCTAGCCTCTTGCTGATTTATCTTTGGCTCATGGAGTTAAAACGTTTTGTTCATGAAGATGCCAACAACAATTCCTAGTGCACACCAGTGAAAGTATAAACCAAGAATACGAGCGACTTGTGTCAGTATGTTTAACCAAATCATTTGCCTCCAAGATTGAGGCCATTTCTAAGGAACAGTCAACAGAGAATAACAACAGATGCCTCCTGAATACACAACCAAAAAAGTGCTCACCTTCTCTAGAGAACCTTCTCTGACCTTCTTCCAACAGAATTATGTATCTTCTATGCTCCTGCAGCCCCGAAGCCACTTCCATATCTATCACATATCTATCTATTTACTTGATTGTCTCCCCCACTAGATAGTGAGCTCTTTCATGCACATACTGTATTACGCTTATCTCTGTATAGACAATAGGTGTCCAATAAACGATTGTTTAATAGAAGTCCAAAGGGAGTATGTGTAACATGGATTTAAGATGGGAACCCTGTTTAGTCAAATGAAGGAAGAATGAACTGAGTATTCTAACACTCTATCCAAAATGTGATTCCACCAGCCCAGAGCAGGTGGTAGTTTCTATCTTCCCCCTGCCCTCAACCCAGAGCTCAGTGGTTTTATAATAAGAGATACTATTCTAAGACTCAACACTTTCCAGCTTAGGGAACATCATGTGCATACTGAGGGCCACCCCCTCTCTCCTAAGCAGGGAAAGCCCTTCACTTCCCCTCATTCCTGTACTACAGAGGTTTCCCCTTCCCACACTTTTGACTGGCACTGTGCTCATAACTCTCTTCTGGGCACTTTCACATCTGTTTTGTCATTTTTTCCTCCCAGTCTCCCCAGGCTGCAGGCAGGACCAATAGTCACAGCAGTAAAATGGCCTTGCAGTACAGAGGTTCTGCTACTTTTTGTTTCCCCTAGCATAGCCATGTCCATGGTTTTATCTGATCCCAAACCATTTTGCTGTTGAACAGATTAGGAAAGCAAAACCTAAAGAGATTAAAAGACTTGACCAAGGTCGCACAGGATGTGTGTTAAGACTCAAGGTCTTCCAACTCCTGGTCCAGAGAGGACTGGACTCACTCTACAGGTATAATCCTCTGAGATCACATACTGGGGGAATCTCTGAAGGTACCAGGCTCTCTGGAGAGATTGCTAAACTGATAAGGGGCAAAAAACAGAGATCATCAGTCTGGATATCCTGATCTCTTCTATAAAGACTTGAGCTGAGATTCATGAGTGTCAAGAGTATATTGGTCACTGCGCCCAGGAGCACTAGCCTCTAGAAGGTAGAATTCCCAGAACCAAAGAATTCTTTGGGAGCAAATGTTGACACTGGAAATCCAAAGTGAGCTGGAACACATGGTCATTTTGCCACGATAATAAATCAAGAAGAGGCAAATCCTATGATTTTTGCCAATATGGTAGCCAAATCCCTCAAGGAAATGGGACCAGAAATTGTGTCATGGACTGAAGAAAATACACAGTTACCCAAAACTCAAAGTTCAAGATGGAGTCTACAGGGCAGCTCACCTGTGACCACCACACTCCACCTTCTGCCAGCCTTCCCACTCTTCTTAATGTGGAAATGGGCCTTGGTCTATATCCACAGCCTGCTCTCTGGCTATCAGGGAAGGAGGGCAGTGACTTTAGGGAGTGCTAAATTCCTGAAACAAGGGTAAGACCTCACAGTATTTTGTGAGTTCAAGAAAAATTCCAGTATTCCTTATGAAGCTTCTTCCTTCCTTCAAACAGTGCTTTTATATCTGTTCCTAGCCTCTTTCCATGCTGGTCACAGGGAAAATGCCAGCAGAAGAAAATCATTTCAGTAAAGCTTTATTGAGAAGCTACACTACTCTGTGACAGGGACTGTGTCAAGAACTGGAAGATGGTGGTGGAGTGAAATGTTAAGAAAGCCTTCCAAAAAGTGTGATGTTTAAATTTTTTAAATATATTTTACATTAGTTTGCTTTCATTTTATAGAAGATATACACACTGCACAAAATTTAGAAAATATAGAAAGGCATAAACAAGAAAACAAAAATTGCCATATCATCATTTTGCACATAATTTTTTATCTTACTATTGTTACTTAGTGTTTTATCTTGAACATATTTCTATGTCATTAAAAACTGAAAAAGTATTCAAAAATAGCATTGATAAATGCCTGATATGTCATTGCACGGATACACCAAAATTTTATATCAAAACTTGTATTTAACCATTCTGTTATTTAGGTCACTACATTCAGGTTGTTCTAATTTTTCTCTATTAGAAATCGAGCTGAGACCTAAAGGATAATTAGCCAGGCAGAGCGTGGTAGTGGGGTTAGTCAGTCAAAGAACAATGGACCTGCACATTTAGGGACCCACAGATAGTGCAGAAGGGCCTGGTCTTGGTTTCCAGGACGACTGATCATGGCAAGAGATGAGGCCAAGGAGGTAAGCAGGGGTCAGCTCACACGGGGCAAGCTTCCATTTTATGCTAGAAACACTACAGAGTGTTTGAAGGATTTTAAAGAGAGGGAGACAGAGACTGATTTGAGCTTTAACAAAATCACTTCGGATGTTTTGTGATGGGATAGACTGAAAAGAGCCAAAGCTGGAAGGAAAAACAGTTGATAGGATATTCTTGCAGTTGTAATGGTGAGAAGTGATGATGGCCTGACCTAAGACAGTGGCCATGGGAATGGGGGGAAGAGGAGACACTTAAAGGATATTTTGAATATAGAATAGAGTCAGTGTCTGAATACATGTGGGAGATGAGGCGGTGGGGAGTCCAGGGTGACTCCCAGGTTTCTAGTGTGGAAACTTGGTAGGAGGGGATGTTTTTTACTGAGCAGAGAACACAGGATGAGGAGAGATTGTGGAGGAAAGGAGTTGATGCAGTACCAAGATACGCACACAAAAATGGCAAAAAACTCAAGATAGGAAACAAGGGCCTGGCTGCAGAAAGAAGGGGCTGTGTCAACAAGACGCTGTCTCTCCGTGGCTCTCTAGGATGCTGGAAAGACGACCCCAGGATGTTGTCTCCACCTACATGAAAGGTGGGGCCAAAC